ACTAAAAACACAATAATGAGTAGTGCAAAAGACAAACAGAAGTGAATTGATACAAATATTAGACCTGAATAGGTTTGTTCAGTCAGCCTTCTTAGGTTTTCGCTGCTTATCTGAAAAAGGAAAAAAGCATGGTGTAACAGCCAACACAAGACAAAATCAACGTAGAACCTCGTGCACAAGTGCATCGGCTCGAGTTGCCATACTTCACAGTCGTATATGAAGACCAGCTCGATAAAAAACTGTTGATATCAAAGTTGTGTAAGAAAAAATAAGCTTGAAAATAACAGTTAGTGCAAATATTCAAGCTTTAAAAGACATCAGAGAGTAATTACATCGCCGTTCTGACCGATTTTCGGCCATGTCAACAAGCCCACAACCACTGATTTCTATCATCTCATGGATCTCATCCGGGCAGTCTACATCTCTCTACACGGCTCACATCAACAGCCATGGACTTCGTGCACTGGTGCGGCACATCCTTGCCTAGCTAGCTTAAACCGATTTCTAACAAAATACAACTTCTCCTAACATTGCACGTCCAGATAGACGGTGGCTCGCGATATGCAGTATATGTCCAATCCATTTCAGTCGATGAAGATACACAACTTCACCACTCGAAGTGTAGTGCAGTATATTCGTCCTTTGATAGACAGTTCGATATCTCGCCGGGGTGGGTGTACGAGTACGTTGATAACATATGGATAGTAAACAATCTGTTAACAAGGTCATGTTACGAGAAATATATTGTTGTTAGTTAAACAGCACCATAGTGTGAATGAAAACAATCATAATCTAGTCATGATTGGACAATGAGATGAACTAAACGTTTTTTGACATGTTATATATATCTATGATAATATAAATTTTCATTATTTCTCTTAAGAAGCTCGGATCAGATTTTCGTGTGAAACGTTGGAATTCTTGTTTCAAACACGCTGAGATTTGTTCAAATGTAATTTATATCTGATGTCAACTTTCCACTCGGCGCCCAATATTTGTGAAACTATTAGGTCAAATCTTGACCAGGATTCATATAAAATAGATACTAGTACCTCACAGGATACGACAAAACACTATACTAATCTGTATTGTCATAATTTCAGGTAGAACAGTAAGACAAAGTCAGTAAATAAGAGGGAAATACGCTACCACTTGTAACAGTAATACACACTACGACAACGAGCTGTTTGAACAAAAACAGACAACAGAAAATATTGATAATAATTGGGTAAAGATGTACATTTCTCAGGGAAAGTATTCGTACATCAGCTGAACTCTAGATCACCCAGCATCAAGTTCAGCTAAATGAAAAGGAAATGACCATTCAAGTATGACCATTTTCAAGAAAGCAACACATTCAAATTAATACTTAGATTACAATTCATCACAACTTATTAGTGTGAAGGTTTCTGTTACCTACTGTATTTTAGGAAGAACATACATTCTAAAATAACGAATGAGAATGAATAAGTAAAGAAGATTCTCAAAATGAATAATAATCAAGCGAAATTCACTAGCACAATGAAGAATAATGTTAAATTTGATCGTAAACGTAATATACCTAAATCATTAGTCACAACAATAGTTATGCCATATAGATCAGAAGAGTGCTCAACAAATGCTATATGACAGTGTTCCACAGAACATTAAACACATTGCACAATACCTTAGTCAATGTGAAGGACGAAATTCCTCTGAACTCACTATGTAGTTGTGTTTATAAAATAAAATATTTCGACTGTGATGTAAAATACATAGGACAAAAACTTTATAGGAAATCAAAATAAGAAAAAAATGAACACCGAAGGGCCTGGCACTCGATACTTTAGAAATCTAGTAGAGCTGAAACAACTTGAGTACACTTCAGCTATTGTTCTACATGCTATAATTTCAGATCACATGGTCGGTTTTGACAATATCGAAATTATTCAAAAAGGCTCTGAAAATGATAAAAAACGTCTCATACCAGAATCTTTTGACATTAAGTTGAGTGGGATTTGTCTAAAGAGGTATGGGGGACTGAAACGTGGTTTGACCTGGTCTCAACACACCTTCACATATTGACATAACCAATATATATGCGATGAGAACTATCAACACAAGTGTACATACTGATCACTATCTGTAATTCATACACTCTTCAAGGATAATAAGACAATAAATGGATACCATCCTTGTTCTGTAATCAATAATGCAGAAAAACACATCAAGTTATCATAATATGAGCTTAAAAACTGTAAATTCCGGTTTACTATTACTTTGATAAAGCTATTATTATTAAATAGCGTAACGTCAGTCAAAAGAAATTTGTTTGACATTTCATTGGGAAATACGAATATCAAAATATCATTTACTCAATGCTCAAATTTTTTTTACAAACCACCAAAACATAAATTGGTTTGGAAATTTACAAGATGAATTCTTCTACTGTTTCTTTATAATTGTGCTTTAATATACTAAATTACTCAGAGATACACAGTTTCAATGAAGATTTAACTTCCGGTCAATGAAATGAGGTCAATTTTAATGTCGATAAACGTGAAAAGTGATGGCGTGCAATGTATAAAATTGCTCACTAATATACACAAACTGTACCGATGAAAGACCACAGAGGAAGATTTAGATTTCGCCGATGATGATCTATGTCTAATGTCGCACAAACTCGAAGATCTACTGGCAAAAACTAACAAGTTGACAGAAAAGGCACGGCAGCGAAGACGGAAGTTCCTTCAGGTGAACGTAGAGAAGATAGAGGCGATGAAGATACCCAACCAACAACAACAACAACAAGAAGCACCATCAACAGGAGAAATCTAAAGCTGGTTGTCTCTTTTACCTACCACCTAAGCAGCATCGTTTCAACTACAGGTGGCGACACAGATGAAGACGTCAAAGCCAGGATAGGAAAGACAGCAATACTGGCCTTCATCAATCTGAAATAATCAGTGTGGAGATCTACTGCTCTGCACTCAACTCAAATCCACCCCACTCCACTCAGCATAAAACGTGAACAACATCCGGATTCTCAACACTAATGTCAGTCAAGTAAGTCAGTGCTTCTATGTGATGGTTCACAGACTCGACGATGCGTTACGAGAAACATTTCCAACAAACTGCTGAAATACATGAATAACTGCCACCTACGCTCACTTGATACTAATACTGAAGATCAGATGGCCAGAATAGTAAGAATAAACAAGGAGGAACTCTGGCCGGCCGGCTGGCTGGCTGGCAACGAACCAACCAAGAGCCTATCGCCCAACAAATATGCAGAAGAGAGTGGAGATTGATTGGACTGGGCATACACTGAGAAGACCATTTGAGGACATTACGGGCCAGGCCTGGGCCTGGAGTGGAATCCATAGGGAAAACGACGAGTTGGGCGTCCCAGCTTAGGGTGACATGGAGGAGATCGTATGGGGAAGATATGATAGGAATCCTGGCAGACTCATATTCTAACGACACATTAGTCCAGTACTCTGAGTAAGTGACAAGTATATATCACAACTTTGGAAACTATTACTGATGGATAGTGGCTAGCAATGGAATACAGGACTTGCGTTTCCTTCTACTTGGGACTCGTCAGTTGGATGCACTTGGCTCCCAGTGAGTGATGTTGTTTCCACTAAAAGACTCGAACCTAACATCGATTGCTTCAAAAAACAAGAGCGTTATCAATGAGGCCACCGAGTCATGATAGCCACTTCTTGTGCATTTTTACATGTTGTTACTTCCTTATTATCCCATCGTTGATGGAGATCGACCAATTCAGTTCACCCAACGACGGAATAATACAAGTATTAACATAAACTTATAAACTGTTTGATAGATATATATGCTGAACGAAGAATTTTCTGAGCATTTTCTACCATCTAAGAGTCAAATATAATGAAAGCTACTTTATTCAGATATGCACTATCATTATCAAATTATAGTCAAGTGAGCTCACTGTTTTGTTTAAACATAACTAAACAAAATGCACGAATATGTCGAAGAAATAATTTAAATAATGAGAGAAATTAAGGGATATTGATAAGTGTTAGTCGACTGTTATACAAAGTGAAAACTTTTGCAGAAAAGAAGCGTATAAAACATATGGGATTTCGATTTATTATATCAATTGTTACTGGAATTGTGAATTGTCAGTTGAAGAATTCATTTTCTCAAAAGTCGATCAGAAGGTTTAGGTTCTCGTCACTCTTTTAAGTTTAATCTAAGCGCATAGATAACCAGTGTTGTAAATTACCTTCTTGACCTAAAACTGTGACCACCGTTAATGAGTGAATTTGCCTCTTTGGTTGTAAGACTGAGGGAATTACATTACACTAGTTTTAGATGCTATTACTGCTGTGTGGATTTGATCCTACTATTCTGAATGTCACATAACATCCAATTCATACATGGGACAGGTGTAAGTTCACTAGCCCACGATGAACAATAATTAATTTGACGAAATACATGAAAAATCCATACAGCCTAGAAGGAGTAGGTGACGCGGTCAAAATATCAATAAGTGAGAATAGAAAAAAAAATCAAGTGAAGGTCAGTCGTTAGTGTTTGGTTTTCGCTTTGAACAACACAACAATAACTTACTTCCCGAAAGAAGAAATGATTAAGAGGGACAATCGGATATCAAGATATCTAAACCAAATTGTCAACAGACAAGCTTTTAATTCAAGTAGAAACGGACTAACTTAATAAATATTTCTTGACAATTAGCTCCTCTTTTTTGACTTTACGCTATTTAAGACCTTGCAAGCAATATCACACAATATCAGCTGGGTGGTTTTCTGTCCAATTACCACTATCTTTGTGAGTAACTTAAACGGTGTAATCTTTGCTTATCATATTACGGGACCACTTGATTGGTATGTTGATAATAATTGTAAAACTTGCATTATAGCGTAGGGTCTAAGACGAGGAGGCTCAATTCAACCTTTTTCTTTCAAGATAGATAAAAGAAAATTTCTCACTTCGATTAAATGAGGAAACTTTCCTTCTTATTTATTTCTCAATAAAATATTATCCAGAAACGGATATCCAATACGACCTGTGAATAAAAATATCAAACGATAAGATGTTAAGTTCGTCCAGAAGAATACTCTGAATGAATCTGGAAACCAAGTTACCTCGATATTCTGACAGACAGACAAAATCAACGTAGAACCTGGCACAAAAGTGTATTGGTCCACATATCCACATTTTACAGTAATGTGCAAAGAACAAGTGCATAGAAAAGATTAATATCAAAGCAGACATAAATGTATGGGAGAAGAGGGAATTTAAAATTTAAGGTTAGTCAAAACATTCAAACTTTAGAAGAGATTAAAGAGTGAATAAATATGCACCATTTTGATTGATCTTCAGCTATTTCATCAAGAGTCCTCGATCATTGATTCCTACCGTCTCAGCCACCTCAGCAGCCAGTTAGTCCCTACACAGCTCAGAAAAACAGTCAGGGAAATCATGCAATGGTGCCATATTTTAGTCTGGCCATCCTCAATTCTCTTACTATACACTATTAATTCCTTTAGTGTGGAACTTTAATTCGAAATCTATAATACTTGTCAACAATCTGAAGGAGAAGTTGTTATACATAATCACCTCCAGATGTGCACATTTGTTTAATTTCTTTTGTTGTCATTGGAAACGCGTTTCCTTCTAAGGAGGCTCAAGAACACCATGCTGTTTGGTTGCAGAGAGGTATGTGTTGGAAATATAACTGCCGAAACCATGTTAACGTTGATCACAACAAACTACTCATTCCAAATTATCAACAATATAAAAACAAATCTACTCCTAACACTGTATACTCCTTCATTAGTTGGATGATCAGACGTATATTATGTGTTAGGAAATCGATTTTCATCAAGGTCATTCGCGAAAGATTAATTCCTTTGAATTTTCTGATGATTCTTATATTGGCAACCAAATTTTCTTGATCATACAGAGCTTAAAAACCATTTCGAAATATAATGCAATTATATATTCGAAATTATCACGTTTCTTAGTGTTTAACGATCTTAACCATCACTAATTATGTCACTTTCTGTTTTCAGAAATCATTTCTTGTCAAAAAGCAACAATGATATTCACCTGATCACATCCTTATTACTAGGTGAAAAATCATTGAAACTGTAAATAGTACTGTTTCAGAAAAAATGCGTAAAAGATTGTTTCTACAGCTGATTAGATGAAACCGCAATAACCTGCTCAAATTTTCGGTTACAAAATGTATTCAATGAACCGTTACGTTTTGAACTTGTTTTAATTATTTAAGTGTCTCCACAAAGTATAATGTACTCTCTTGATCACTTTTAAAATGTATTCAACCTACTGTTTTTCAAGCTATGAATAAAATTAAAAGGAAGAATCATGATAGATGGCAACGGGCTTTTAAACGCATAACACCAGTACATCTTGCACTGCAGATCTTCATACTGATTCAATGGGACTTCCGAACGCTTTTCTTTTCGTCCAGCTACTCTGCAACAACTAACTGGTCATTACATATTATCGCCCTTAATACTGTTATTATTATTATCACTACTTGGATGTTATAATTATTCCGAAGGAAAATATTTTATAGGGAGTAAATTTGTTGAAATACTACACAGCGAGAATTTTATACTACGTCAAAAATGCTGTTTGTAATAAAGTGATTATTGATATTATTTTAAACTAAGTAATGTCTTAGAGGAACTTTTCTCATGACATCATATTTACTTGTGCAATCGTTGTACCACAAATGGGTGTGAGGTATCTCCTAAACACACTGACAGACTGAATTGTATCCAGTATATTTTACTATTGGGCAACTGAGATTAGTTTCAACACAAAATCGGCATTTCTTTTCAAAATGACAAAGTATACACAAACGCTTACTTTGAACTGCAGTAACTTCTTTCTTTTCAAGTCGTTGGTGTGATTTCGTTGTCATCTTTTTACGAGGTATTTTATTCAAAGAACGAACAATCAATATGCTAACACCGAAACATAAAGCTATCCCAATAATTATCACTCCAAAGAACCCAAATCTTCCGCTTTCAGAGAAATTCGCAAGTATGGGGTATGGATAAAGATTATGAACACGTATAAGGTATTCCACGCTGAAATATAAATGATAGAAAAATAGAAAAAGCATGACATAGCACTTAGATCCAGATGAAATGTTTCAGTGTCGAATAAAAATACGCAGTGGGAGCGTGAATAGCTGAGTGGTAACGTCTCTGACTGCAGCATTGAGTGACGCAGGTTCGAATCTCATAGAGGACGTAGTTTCCCCAGAGGCTGAAGATACGCCTTGCTGACGAGTCCCAACAAACATATAGCCTAGGTCCACGACATCCCACCAACTGCCTCCATCCAAATAGCACTCATTTCCCGTAATTTACGATATGAATACAGTAAGCAAAAGTTAAAAGATAACCAATCATTTGTTTAGTGTTGTTTGAAAGGATACTTAGATTTCTTTGTCGATAGCCTAGATTTCTCCATCAATTCCCAGATGTCCATTCATGGCTTGCGTGTTTAAATAACTGGGCATAAATCCCTAGGTAAAACGTTTGGGTGGTGAAATGATGTAAACGACTTGTAACTCAGGATGAGGCTGGTGGTGTTGTCTCAGCCTTGATATTCTGTCACGGGTGTTTCATCAACAGGATTGGTGATATCTTCAGCAAAACCTTCATCAAGAAGTGAAGTATATTCGAATGATACATAAATGTTCAGATAGTGTTTTCATCGACCGTGTGCGCTGTCCAACTGTAAGTTGCGGAAGAGATTTTCATCACACCTTGACCTCTTTGACCTTAAATTTGCTTCGACCACGCTGGTAGATAATCTTTGTTGCAGTGAAACTGTGCTATTTGTTGCTGTCACACTGTGCATCACCACTGATTTGTTTGGTCGATCTGCCCTTGGTAGACGGATAGTTGTTTTCTTCCTAAGAAGATTGTAAATTGGGCCCGTTAATTGATTTTGCCGTCGGTTATTCTTTTAAAGAATAACTAAACTCTTCCTGACTACTCGAAGCTCACAGTTCCAAACCATATACAATTGATCGATCTATACCTCACTATCTATTTACAATTCAATAGGAAGATTTACAAACACACAAAGACAATACCTATGGATCACCATTATCAGCATTGATTACTGATACAGTGATGCAACGGTTGGAATCAATAGTCATCGGTATGTCGACGACACACACGCATTTATTAAGGAAGACGAAATAGAAAACACGTCCAAACTAATTAACCAAATATTTAAAGGAATTCACTTCACAAAGGAGGAGAAACCAATTACAAAACTCCATTCTTAGATATCTTCATCAGCAGAACACACGACACAATGTTGCAAACAAAGGTATACAGGAAAACCATACACACTAATCAAACTTTGAACTACAACAGCAATAACCCTACACTTCATAAGAAATGTTGTGTTCAAGCACTATTCTCAAGGGCCAAAACACATTGCAACACAGAAGCACTACGGAAAGCCGAAGAAAAATACCCGTACAAAGTGTTCAAAGTCAATGATTATCCAATCGACTTTATCACAAAGTGTTTATAGCTAGGACAGGAGACAAGGCAATTACTTCAAATCAATAAGCGAGTTACTGTGCTCTACAGTAAACATGTCTCAGAAACAGTCGACCAATAGCCTCGACTGTTCGGGACCAAAGTGGCACACAAACCAACGAGACCATCATAGACCAGTTTATACAAGCTAAAGGAAGACTGGGCAAATATAATCTACAAAGTCAGCTACAAAGATGGTTAACAACACTACGTTAGCCAATCGGACCGTCGGATTCCTCAAAGCATTCATGAACCAGCAGTAAAACGACACGATGCAACGCCCTTGGTTTCAACGCACGTTGGCAAACACGGTCACAAATTCGACTAGGAGAATGTAGGGGTCCTCCAAACAACAGGTTCAAAACCTGCAAGAGAATTTCCAGCGGCATGGTAATCCAAGACCCAATCTGCAATCTACTCAGGAAGAAAACCAAATAAATCAATAATGCTGCACAGTGTGACAGCAACAAATAGCACAGTTTCACTGCAACAAAGATTATCTACCAGCGTGGTCGAAGCAAATTTAAGGTCAAAGAGGTCAAGGTGTGGTGAAAATATCTTCCGCAACTTACAGTTGGACAGCACATACGGTCGATGAAAACACTATCTGAACATTTATGTATCATTCGAATATACTTCACTTCTTGATGAAGGTTTTGCTGAAGATATCACCAATCCTGTTGATGAAACACCCGTGACAGAATATCAAGGCTCAGACAACACCAAACCGCCATCACTTTAAGTGCTTTAACAAAATACAGATTGATGCAATCGAATGAAACAGGTCAAGCATAAATACACTATGGTTATTTTTTGGAGAATGATGTTTACAAATCAAAGCGAGTTAGTTAGGCTTCAAAGTGTGGCAAAAAGGAATTATGGTCGTAGTTTTCACTTTAAAATGTATGCATACAAAATACAGAAAATACATATTTTCATACAGAAGGCTATAACATGTGTGAATGACTTTCAGTGCCACTTATGATCTAGGGTTTGAAGTTATTATTATTAGTCCCTTGGGTTCCGAGTGGAACATAGGGCTTCAGTAGCACGCCTCCAGTGACCTCTGTTCTCTGAGATCTTTTGAACCTGGCTCCACGACAGCCCAGAAGCTCTCATTTCCTGCTCGCACGACCTCCTCCATGTCACCCTCGGACGTCCAACTCGTCGCTTCCCATGGGGATTCCACTCGAGGGCCTGACGCGTGATGTCCTCCGTCGGCCTTCTCAGTGCATGGCCAATCCATCTCCACTTCTTCCTGCATATTTGTTGCGTGATAGGTTCTTGGTTGGTTCGTTCCCAGAGTTCCTTGTTGCTTATTTTTTCTGGCCATCTGATCTTCAGCAGCGAGCGTAAGCAGTTGTTGATGAATGTCTGTAGTTTATTGGAAATACCTTTCGTGACGCGCCAAGTCTCTGAGCCATACAAGAGCACTGACTTGACGTTGGTGTTGAAAATCCGTATCTTGTTCCGCATGCTGAGTGCAGAAGATCTCCACACTGGTTTCAGGCTAATGAACGCCTGTCTTGCTTTTCCGATTCTGACTTTGACGTCCTCGTCCGTCCCGCCTGTAGTTGAAACAGTGCTTCCTAGATAAGTGAAGGAGGTTACTTCCTTTAAGTTTCTCCCGTTGACAGTGATTGGAGTTTGTTGTTGTTGTTGTTGATGGTGGTGGTGCGGTATCTTCATCACTTCTGTCTTCTCTATATTCACCTGAAGTCCCGTCTTAGCTGCCTCTTCTGTCAACTTGTTAGTTTTTGCCTGCAGATCTTCAAGTTTATGTGACATTAGGCATAAGTCATCGGCGAAATCCAAGTCTTCTAGGTTCTTTTCCGTCGTCCAGTGTATCCCCCTCTTCTCGCTGCCTACTGTTTGCTGCATGATCCAGTCCACCACAATCAAGAATATCATGGGGGATAGTAGGCAACCTTGTTTCACTCCTGTCTTCACTTCAAAGGCATCACTGAGCTTCCCATTGTGGATTACTTGGCATGTAGCATCTTCATATAGTTGTTGAATGAGGCGGATAAAGGTTTGCGGTACTCCGTAGTATTGAAGCAGTTTCCAAATTACTTCTCGGTCGACGCTGTCAAAGGCCTTCTCAAAGTCGATGAAGTTGAGGTGGAGAGGTGATTGCCATTCTATGCTCTGTTCTATGATGATACGAAGCGTTGCAATTTGGTCTGCACATGATTTGTACTTCCTGAAGCCTGCCTGTTCCGGTCGTAGTTTTGAATCCAGTGCATCCCTTAGCCTCTCCAGGATGATGCGGCTTAATATTTTACTTGGGGTGGACAGGAGAGTGATTCCGCGCCAGTTCTTGCAAGCACTGAGGTCTCCCTTCTTCGGCAGTTTGACAAGGTAACCCTTCTTCCAATCGTCAGGTACCTTCTCTTCCTTCCACACCTTCTGCAATAGTGGTGTGAGCATGGCCGCTGTTGTCTCTGCATCTGTTCTCAGTGCTTCTGGCGGTATTCCATCTGGTCCTGCTGCTTTCCCGCATTTCAGTAGCTTTATGGCGTTCAGGACTTCCATTTTCGTTGGGGGATTAATGTTCACTTGTAGTTCAGCGGCTGCAGGTGGTATTTCTGGACGAAGTGCAGGTGGTGGTCGATTCAAGAGCTTCTTGAAGTGGTCGGCCCATCGTTTCCTCTGTTTCTCTTCTTTCGTAATTAAATTTCCTTCTTCATCTTTTATTGGTTTCATCTGTGTTGGTCTATTCCCTGATAGCAACCTGGTTATTTGATACAATGTCGTCAGGTCTCTCTTACCTGCAGCCTGTTCTGCTTCACTTGCCAGTGTTTCGTAGAAGTGTCTTTTGTCTTTGCGTGCACTCTTCTTCACTTCTTTATCCAGTGTTTTATACATTGTGCTCAGTTCATCTTGTCGTTGAGCATCCTTGCACTGGTTTATCTTCTGCTTCACCATCCTCCTCTCCTCTATCAGCTTCCAGGTATCTGTCGAGATCCATTCCTTGTCTTCTTTCTTCTTCCTTCCTAATACTGTTGTGCAGGTTTCTTTCCACATAGCTTTCAAAGACTTCCAGTGTTCTTCCACACAGGTTTCTTCAGGGATGTCCCTCGATGTCTCCCATTTTGTCTTGATGGCTGCTTTGAAGATCTCCTTTGTAGTTTCATCCTTCAGTTTCCGAGTGTTGTACTTGGGTTGAGGTCTATCACCAGCTTCCTTGAAGGCTTTTAACTTGATTTGGAAGGTTCCTTGCACTAGGTAGTGGTCTGAACCTACATCTGCTCCTCTTCTTGACCTTGTGTTAAGTAGACTGCGTCTCCATTTTCTTGAGATTGAGATAAAGTCGATTTGATTTTTAGTGTGTCCATCTGGTGAAATCCATGTCGCTTTGTGGATATCTTTGTGCCTGAACACACTGCCTCCAATCACCAAATCGTTGAATGCGCAGAATTCTGCAAACAATTCTCCATTCTCATTCATTTCACCTAGTGCCTCTCGACCCATGGTTAGTTCTCTTCCCGTGTTGTCCCCTCCCAGTTTGGCATTCATGT